TAAAATATGTTAGGTACAGAACAAAACCCTACTTGCACGCAGATTCCTAGGTTTTGCTCTGACGCTCAGGAATTCTGCAATCTTATTTCTGCTGCGCTCTGCTCTGCATTGCTTGCTAGTTTGAGTTTTTTGCTGGGGTATCGCCTTCTTTTTAAATCTAGTATTTTTCAAAGGAATGTGAATAAACATACAATATGGATGAAGTTACCAGTAACCAGTTTTCTTCCTTATAAAATACAATACCTTGTTAAGTATTAACAGCCTTACTTGCATGTGAGACAGTGGAATTATGTACAGCTACTACTGACATGTTGGACTTTCATACATCACTGAGCGTTGATTCTTCTCAGCCCAGCAACGTACGTCAGAAGGTGGCCACAGGCACTACTCCAAGAGATTAAACTACAAAGAACCTGTCACTGTTTCCCAAAGCAAAAGCTGCCCCCAATATATCTGTAATTAACCTCTCCTTTTCTCACACAAAAGCTTCACTTCCCACTTGAGCGGTTGCCATGTGGGAATGGAAATGTAAGTGTATCAGAACAGAAATGAAAGTTAACACTGAACATCAACTAAAAGGTAATGGATAAGGTTACAGAAACAGAGTTCTCTGAAAGCTCCCAACCCTTTTCTCCTCCTCCTCTTCCCCCCCAAAGAAAAACTAAACACGTTCACCTTCCAGTGGTATTATACAGAAAACTCTTAAATATATTCTCTTATCATGACTCACCTTGATAAAAAAATTAAATAGTTTAAGTAGTCTCATTAGAAGATTCTATAGTAAGCGAAATATACAAGAGACACAACATACGCAATATTAGCCAAAAGGCTTCTTTATAAAAATACACAGCTCTGACTACCCTAGAATGTATTGATCAAGAGCCTGGGCCCCACCATGAAAGGCAGTTAGAAAACAGATATCCATTTTATTATCCATTTTTTAATGCTACGAGGGAATTGATACCATAAATTAAGTATTTACACTCTGCTGCCACCTCAGAGGACATCCACCTTTAATTTACCCAGTTCTGTCCAAAAGGGAATAATTGTGTCTAAAAAGGAGAACTGCACATGCAAGTCTATCAATTCCTTCACAGAATTTCCTTTAAAGAGTGGCCACTTTTCTTAGCCTGAGTATTTTAAAACAAACAAACACACACACACCTCCATACAAGGACTGTGACTCGGGGCTTCTCTCTCCGCTGCTTCCAGGTTAGCCTCTTGAATAGAAAATAGCTGAATAGAAGGACCTGAAAATCAGTGAGCCCTCTTTGTTTACATAGCATGTGTCAGAAAGTTCCTGCCTCTACTAATAACTAAGTTTCCTGAGGATTTGAAAAGCGGAGAGCCCCAATGTAGCTTTCCTAGCCCTGCTGCATGCAGCCATGATTTGCATAGGGTCAGAACCACAGAGGGATGCAGAAATAGTGCTGCTGTATCTGAATAATTGCCACGTATAACCCTAAGCTGGTCAACTACATTTCTTATATGACACACCGAGACCCCAAATTAAGACTGGTAATGATCCTGAGCAGAGGAAGGATTAATAAGCCATCTCATTGGAAACAGCAAAGAGCACGTCCAAAATCCTCCTTGCTGGACTTTCTGAGCTCGGCTTCATAAGCTGAATCACTCCCTCGATTTCTATGCCCAAATTGCTTTGGGTACAAATGACTGACTCACTTTTCTCTTTTAAAGTATGGCTGGAGGAGGCAGCAAGAATGATAACATGAGTGCCCAGCCTCCATAAAAGTCCTACACTTCTCTCCTTGGCCTGAAGGAACTCAAGTTCACGTCTTCCTAACTCCCAGGAGAATCTGACCATGTGGATGTTGCACATTAGCGATACCACAACCATACCTCTGCTCATTTCCTGACTTCAGTGATTAACTCGTTGCTGATCATTTCCAATCTCAATAAATCTCTCATTATTTTATTGACTGCCAGGAAGGACTGGAAATAGACTTGCAACCTAAATCAATTAGTACAGTAGCTCATGATAAACTTTTCTGGAAAAACATGTGCAGCCAAGCCTGGTTCCAGAGAGGAACCAGAAATTCCCGACTTCAGTGAGCAGAGGAAAAGACAGGGGGTTGGAAGCAAAGAAACCATAAATAAACTAACCATCTGAGACTAATAAGAGCTTAAAAATAGTCAAAATTTTTTTGTTTTAACATTTTAAATTGTCCAATATTATTTCCAATATCATTGTAACCTTCTAGACCATTTCCATAGGAATCAGCTACTAAGCAAAGAATAAAAGACAAAGCAAAACGTATTTTCTTAAATCTTGTTTTTAAATAAATTAGTGATCATCCATTACCTTACTATCATAGAATTACCATTAAGCAAAATGTACTTATCACGTCTTTCAAGTTTCACCCTTTTAAACCACCAATACAGCACTCCTTACCTCCTAAATGACTGAAGATGTACACAGCCTCTGCAGCTTACAAATCCTCACTAACCAGTGACACAACCAGTGTAAAGATAACGACTTCCTAGCAGAGTGAAAAGATCTTGAATAACTATTTGGCTTCATTGCTCCAGAGAACAAACAGCAACTAGAGCCAACCCAGAGGTGAAGCAAATCTGCTGGGCAGTTCAATCTCCTAGAAAAGGCCCAGACAGGCTGGCTGAGAAGCTGTATCTGTAACAGGCAGGCAGCAAGCACTGCGCAGATGGGAGGGCCTAGGGACTCCGTTGCCCTGAAGGCTCCTTCCTCTTACCAGCTACATCTCCCTCGATTACTTACTGACAGCCATGGTGAGCCACTGGACCTATTCCCATACAGAACTATATCCCAGTCTTTCCCCTCTCCTTCTATGTTTTTGTCGTTGCTGGTTCATTCAGCTCCCATCCACTGGCATTTTTCTGCAGTTTTACACCTGCCCACTCTCTCTCTGTTTGCAGTCCCCCATTTGCTTCTTTGTCAACTCCAGCTGTTACAGAGAATATCAGTTGGCCCAAATAGCAATTTACGCATCTTCAAGAACGAGTAAATTTATAGGAGAAAAATGAAGAGCTATTATCACAAATACACCATCTCTGACTCAGAAAGCCCCTTAATCATAAACTGATAAAGGCTCAGAGAATAAACTGAGGAGGGAGAAGGAGAAAGTAAAAGGAAAGAAGACCCTTCCCTTCCAAGACTGCCCTCCCCACTGGGCTATGAAGTCAGGCTTGTGTTGCATACCTTCTTCCTCATCCATGATCCTCACATTCCTTTTTGCAGTGATCTGTGCCTTAACAGGGATCTTAGGCAATGTCCAACTTCCTTTCCTCATCCCTCCTGCTCACCAACCTTGCCTTCACCTGCTGGGGGAGAATTCTCCTGGGAGAGATGTATTTGAAGCCTTCAGGGTAGACTGGGCATAGGCTATCATATACCAGATGAACGATTCTCTCTCTCACCTCAGCTGTGTTTTTGAATGAAAGTGGTCACTGCTGCAGAGCCAGCCCATGCTGTCCCTGCATGTCACATGCACTATGAGACTACCAGCCTGACTGGGTCCTTCAGGAGACCTGCCATAGAAACGTCACTGGCTGTGAACTCTACATATTCTTCAGTGTGAGATACATGCAAACACCACCTATCTTAGCAACAGCTAAGATTGGCAGCAGGCCAACGGGGATATGTAGAACTATTCATAAAAACCTGAAGTCTAAGGATCAAATAGCTAAGCAGGATTTCTGTAGATTACTCAGTTGACAACATACTGGATGTTTAAGTTATTTTTGAGTTTGGTTCTCAGAGTCTGCTCTTATAACTGATTCTGTGCGAAGCTGCAAAGATCTGTCTGATTGGAGTCAGTTGCAGGAACAGATGTTAAGATTCATATCTTTCTTCCTTCATCCTCATTCCACTCTACACAGTTTCCTACCTTGTGTCTCAAATTAAAAATCAGGAAAGTACGTACTACAAAACAGATTCATTTTCTATGTATTTCTCATTCTATTTTTCCCCCTGCAACATATATAATCAATTTTTAAGCAATTATGGACAGCAGTGACAATCAAATCTTGCTGTATGCAACCTAGAATCATTGGTAAGGAAAGAAAAGTAAACCAATGGGATGTCAGTAAACCTCTGGAAGAGAAGGGGAAAAGAGAGGGGAGCAAAGGGCAGCTCTCAAGAACAGGTCACAAAACCTGGAACATCCTTAGGAAAAAAGGAATTGAGAAAGACAAAATGCACTGACATC